TAAACACACGTACACACACGTACACGTACACGCGCACACACACGTACACACGCACGCTCACACACGCACGCGTACACACGCACGCGCACACACACGCACGCGCGCACAACAACAGCAACAAATATCACACCAACGGTCCACGCAGCCCTCCGTTCACTCCACCACCACCACCGTCACACCACTACCTCCTCTCTCCCCCCCCCCCAAAAAAAAAATAACAACAAACCGGACCCCTTTACGCGGAGCGAAAACCGAAAACCGGTTAAGAGGAGGAAAGACGGCGCGTCTCAGTGGATGGATGGGAAAGTGCTGTTGTGTCGTCCGCCTGTGCTTGCGAGTGTAGCGAAGTGCGTGAGTGTGTGCGTGTGTGAGTGTGTGCGTGTGTGTACGCGTTGATCGTGTGCGGTAGGGCGTGGTGCCGGCCACCCCAACCCCCCTTGTCGTAACCGTGCCGACCTTCACAGGTGCTGCTACTCGCTCACAGCACTTGCCCCACAACAGTTTGTTAAGGCCATACGGGGGATCTTTGTCTTTTTTTGCTGTGCGTGCGTTAAAGTCTGTGGGGGGAGGGTGGTCTTTGTGAGTGAGCGGCGCTGCGCTACGAACCCGGCCACCCGAGTTCCATTCCCGGTCACGGGCCACGGCCAACGCGTGCTGACGGATGATTTGGACAGCCACCCTGGGCTCCCCCTTAGGTCGACTCAGCCTCAAACGAGCACCCGGTGCGGTGTGTCAACAACGTAGCCCGCTCGGGGAAGACAAAGGCGGCCGAGGCGGCGGGGTGTTCGTCAACCCAGCCCCGGTGCCGCTCGTGAACGACTGTCCGAGGCTATACGGGGTGGTAGTGCGGGGGGTGGGGGGATTTTAGTCTTTGTGTTTCTTGTTCCAAGGCAAACACCGTGCCTGGATCCTGTGCAAAGGTTGCGAGCGATAACTCGAGGCGCGACTGGCGCGGCGCGAGTTGAAAATGCATCGCCATCACCCGCAGCGCAGGCAGTGAAGAGCAATAAACTCACAATCACCCCCACCCTCTTAAGAAAACCACAACCGCTATATGCCTGCCTCGTTTCACAATCAGTTCAATCGCTCGTGTCTTGTACGTTGCACCCTCCATCACCACCCCGCCCCCCCCCCCCCCCCGTCTCTCGCTATCCCCCCCCCCACCACTGTTCAAATGATTAAACTACGGTTCGATTCTCGATTATCTGGCAGCGGATAATTAAAAACAATATGTAATCGTTTTCCACGGATCTTTATGCCAACAATCCCCCCCCCACGCCACTAATATAGATGCCAATTATGTTAAAGTTAACAACAATTAATTTGTTAATGAACAAAACAAACATTTATACGTGAGGAATGTATTGGTCTTGGTTTATCGCGAAAAATCCATACAAAAACACACACTCTCACTTAAACGGGTTTGACAACTCCTGCAGTGGATTTCTCAAAAAATAAATGATCGGGCAAATCACTCAACATGAAGCACAGCTAACCATGGCGATTGTTGCTCTTTCGATTTAGAAGGAATACTAAACGATCGACCGATCGATGATGCGCGTGCTCAGTGATTATAAAACTTCCCCGGCTCCCGCCCAGCAGAGCCACGTCAATCAACGCCAGTCAAACCCCACCCACTGTTGTAAAGATCTGGCAACTACTGTACTGTAGGGGAGATCACAAAATTAACCGGAGCAACATATTCGTTCGGTTTAAGCACGTGACTTGTAATACACATTTGCAAGAATAACAATGTTCTATAACTGTTTTTAGATGATTAGTTTGAGCTTAAGGGAAACATCTTTGAGTTATTACTACATTGTGCGGGCAATCAGCATACTAGATCAATTCGGTCTACTGGATTTATTAATGGGACCTTTTAGTCGGTATCTAAAATAATGAAAAATAAGGATAGGCTGTACCCCTTCTGGCATTAAACAGAAGGTGCTAAGATGTTCAAACACGAAACAGATATATACCTTTTTTTATTTAAAGCTTTCACCACCACCGGCTGGTGGACAGCAGTGGCATCTGCGTTGGACAGACAGCACACAGGGGGCGTGTTGGCAGGGCGGAGGAACTGGGGCAAGGGTCACGGAGGACCCCGTCTGGAGGCTGGTGGACAGGCTGGTGGACAGCAGTGGCATCAGTGTTGGACAGACAGCACACAGGGGGCGTGTTGGCAGGGCGGAGGAACTGGGGCAAGGGTCACGGAGGACCCCGTCTGGAGGGCTGGTGGACAGGCTGGTGGACAGCAGTGGCATCTGTGTTGGACAGACAGCACACAGGGGGCGTGTTGGCTGGGCGGAGGAACTGGGGCAAGGGTCACGGAGGACCCCGTCTGGAGGCTGGTGGACAGGCTGGTGGACAGCAGTGGCATCTGTGTTGGACAGACAGCACACAGGGGGCGTGTTGGCAGGGCGGAGGAACTGGGGCAAGGATCACGGAGGACCCCGTCTGGAGGCTGGTGGACAGCAGTGGCATCTGTGTTGGACAGACAGCACACAGGGGGCGTGTTGGCTGGGCGGAGGAACTGGGGCAAGGGTCACGGAGGACCCCGTCTGGAGGGCCCTGGGACCTGCTGCTGGCGGGTTCGAGAGGGGAGGCGCAGCCAGGGCTGAGCCAGGCCGCGCTGGGAGCATCGCCCCTCGTCGCTGAACGTCTCCGCTAGACGCTGCGCTACGGGGGGAGAGTTGTTGGCTGTCTCGGTGTTAGACGGCTCGTGTTGTGTACAGGCTGGGGCTGAGCTGTGGAGAGTGTGTGGACGAGACCGTGGAAGTTGGGTTAATAAGGAAGGTGACGCCTATAAACTCTGTCTCTGAATCGCCGACACTACAACTATGACAAAACCCAACGGTGGGCTGTGTCGGGTGGTGGCGGGATTAACGACACAACTATGCTGACGCGACTCTAACCCAACCAAATAAAAAAGAACCATTCATTACGACTCATCGGCATCTTGGGCGCATGCTCAATCCACCGCTGGACGAGGGGGCCCCCCTCCCCACGCACACCGATCCCGAGACGGTGGGGGGATGGATCCGATCCGCTCCGCACGTGTCCCTGCAGCACCACGTGATAACTTCCCACCGCAAACCTGCCCTGCCCTGCCCGCCACCTCGGGGTTCCATGCTTTCACTGCTGTCGTCCGTAATTCAAAAGTATTTTTGTTTCAATCTCCATGTATGTAAAAGGCAAAGTTGTGATTATGTGTGTCTGTTCAAAGTGTTTAGCGTTCTTCCCGACATGCAACCAACTAGAAATTTGCCAAGTGGGTACTTTCCAGACTGTACACCATGCAAACATTATGAAAATATACTTTTGTTTTGGGGGGGGGGGGGGGGCTCAAGAATGCATTTATTTTTTGCACGGCAGTGAGCTGTGACGTCAAATCTGTCATGTGACCCGCGCACGTGGAAGCGTAACGCATTGGAGTGTAGTGGTTAGCGTGCTACGCTACGAACCCGGCGACCCGAGTTCGATTCCCGCTCACGGCCACCACCGGTGACTATTATTTTAACCTGTCTCGGGCCTCCCCTAGGTCGACTCAGCCTCAAACGAGTAACTGCTGTGGTGTGTCAACATCGCCACTGGGGAGACAAAGGCGGCCGGCCGTGGTGCTGGCCACCCACCCCTTCGTGGATTAATACAAAAACGATATCAGGTACGAAACAACGCAGAAGTTATGAAAGCGTGGAGGGCGAGGTGGGTGACACCAGCACACACAACGCACATTGCGGATCACAGCGACAACTGAAACCCGTCTTAGAACCGCATGTTTCAATGAACTCTGCAACCCTCTTGCTGAGTTCGGATGCCCCTGAAGAAAAATAAAAGCAAGCGGACATGTGAAGGTGGGCGGGTGCGGAAATGCCCCCATGAATGCTCTTAAGAATGGGGTGCTCACTGGAGGAGACGGAGTGAAGGGGGTTCCATGTTTGGTGGTAAACACCCTCCCCTTGTCCCTTAGTGTTGCAACTTATTTACGTGACAACCCTTACTAGTGTGGTGGCGGGTTTAAAGACACATTAAGATATGTGTAGCGGGTAAATAACTGGAGACGTTTCTTTGAAGCAACACGGTTTATTAACAGCAACTGCTAACACTAAGTGGTAACGGGTCCCTTACACCCGATACGCTAAAGAGGTAGCCCCTCCGGACAATTACGTCTCTCGCTCACTAATATACATCTTCTTAAGTAAGGCTTGAGCCTTCACTGGCAGAAGCTGGAGCTGCCCCTTGCCAGGGGCTCGGCTCCACCCCTTGCCAGGGGCTCGGCTCCGCCCCTTGGGCTCTTCTCTTCAGTAGCCCTCTTCAGTCTTCAAGCGAACGAAGACTGCCGGGACCGTTCAGAGGTCCGGCTTTTATACAGAGCCGTGGCTCGCTCCGCCCCCGGCCACGCCTTCCTTCTCGAACCTTCCAGCAGGACCTGGGGGTGATGTCATCCCCTGGGGTATGGGGTCTGCATGTCGTTCCAGAGGGGGTTACCGTTGAGCCCTGTGGGCCAGAGTCCCTTAGCCCCGGGGCTCAGCTCCTCTTCTGCCCCCTATTGGCAGGTGGCCGGCACTACCGGCTAACTGCATGGAGCTGACGCATCTTCGCCCAATAATACCTTTACATCTGTACGCGATCTAACCTAAAACAAACCTCTATCACGGATTATATTGGTCGCGAAAGCCTACGTGTTGAACCTACAGTGAGGGAAAAAAAGTATTTGATCCCCTGCTGATTTTGTACGTTTGCCCACTGACAAAGAAATTTTCAGTCTATAATTTTAATGGTAGGTTTTTTTCAACAGTGAGAGACAGAATAACAACAACAAAAATCCAGAAAAACGCATGTCAAAAATGTTATGAATTGATTTGCATTTTAATGAGGGAAATAAGTATTTGACCCCTCTGCAAAACATGACTTAGTACTTGGTGGCAAAACCCTTGTTGGCAATCACAGAGGTCAGACGTTTCTTGTGGTTGGCCACCAGGTTTGCACACATCTCAGGA